TGGAGCCATCCCTTCCTGAAGCTAAGACAAGAACGTATGAGCCGGAGGCTAAAAAACTGTGAGCTAGCTCACACTAACTCAGCTTAGAGGGAACACTGGTGCCAACAATAGTGCTTCTTTAGAAATAGCAGACTGTTGTCATAGGATGGAAACCGTGGCGAAGATATGAATGTTCTCTGTGCAACATAAGGATGTTCTTCTGCTGTGCGTGGTGATTGTCCATCTATGAAGAAGCCGTGGTGAAACCGTGACATTTAGGCTAGCAATCCCAAGGGACTATTGCTTATTATCTGCTGGAAATTTTTGGCTAGAATGACTTGGATAGAATTACATGGAAGCCGGTAACTACTTGAGAGCAAGAAGCATAAAACAATTTGTGTATCTTCCCTGCAGAAGCACGCCGGAGTTTGCATATTACAACCCAGAACGACAACAGTCTGGTATCTTTAAAGAAGCACTGTATTGTTGGCATGGCACTTGATTCCTTCCTTTCTTGGGGCAGCAGGTTTGATTTGTTTCCTTTCTGGGGACGGCCGGGTTTGGAGACTGGAGGGTCACCTCAGCAGCCATATAGTTGACTCCAAAATGGCCGCTCTCTCTAGGAGAACTGATCTCTGTGGTCTGGAGATCAACTGCCATTCCAACTACACAAAGGATTGGGATGCAAAGCTTGAGAAGTCCTCCTGCAGACGTGTACGTTTGCTGGGAAGGGCATCGCCACCGATCCATCGCAAATACAGATGTCATTAGGTGCCTTCTTTGGTCACACCACCACGGTTCCCTTTGTATTGTAGGTCAGTATCTTGGAAGGATGTTTAAAAAAACGGAACCCGACGTTCAGCAGCAACCGCCTCTGCTTGAGAACTTTAATTCCCCTCACACTGTCTCCAAGGAAAACGTGGCTCTGTGTGATCCTGGTGGCCAGGCGCAGCCAAAGCAACTCCACAACGACCCCCCCTTTTTTCAGCCCAGAAGCGGGGAAAAGAAATTGGCACCCTTGTCGAGCCTGTCGTGTTCAACAATTGGCAAGAAACAGCCGGAGGAGTTCACAGACATTGCAGGGCTCAAAAAATCCTGGCTCGCAGACAGTCAGCTGCCCGGGGGTGACAAAGCTCAGGTCCCGTTCCACCTCGGCCATGGTGAGTTAAGGGTCACTCAGTGGGGGTCACTTTGGTGGATGTATTTGTGGGGTGTTCTCAGGGCCAAGCTGGACCTTATGGCATTCACGGGTCCCACCTGTGGGAGCCGTAGAGAAGAATCCAGCCATTTAAAAGTTCCGTGAGGGTGCCCTGACCTGGATAGCCCAGGCAAGTCCGATCTCGTCAGATCTTGGAAGCTAAGCAGGGCCGACTCTAGTAAGTACCTGGATGGGAGACCTCCAAGGAATACCAGCAGTCGGGAGGTGGGGGAAGGCTTTATTCAGCCACCTCTCTGAATATTCTCCAGGCAGTCAGCAGAGGTTGCCATGACTTGCAGGTTCACCCCCCCCCAAAAAAAAAATTATCTGAGGGCTCAATCGTGATTGGGCCCATGGTCAATGCTCCCTCTAAGCTGTGGAGTCGTGTGAGCAAAAATTCTACTTTGTGAGCTGCTGGCCTTAAAGCTGTGAATGAGCCATTTGGCTGCTGCATAAATTAGTTTGCTCTGGAGCCATCCCTTCCTGAGCTAAGGCAAAAACGTGTGAGCCGGAGGTTAAGAAACTGTGAGCTAGCTCACACTCACTCGGCTTAGAGGGAACACTGCCCATGGCTTAGCAGGACCAGGCCAACCTCCAGGTAGGGGCTGGGATCTCCTGGGATAACAACTGATCTCCAGGTGACAGAAATCAGAGATCAGTCCCTTCAGGGGTCATTTCGTAGAAAAAGAGGTGCAGGAGCTCATTAGCATAACTTATTTGCATACGCCACACCCCCTGGCATCACCAGAATTGTGTCAGAAGGCAACACCCACCGCTCAGGCACCACTGGACTGTTTTGGATTGCTAGTTATTGGGGGGGGGACGCCCAGATCTGCCCTCACAGAAGAGGAAGAGCTTGTACCTGAAAGGTGGGGGGCTCTGCAAATTACCTGGCTGCGTCTTGCTCCTCGTCCGTTGAGAAGATGGCCTCTTTGGAAGGGGGACTTTATGGCATTATTCCCCAGCGAAGTCCCCCCCTCCCCAAACCCCACCCACCTCAAGTCCCACCCCCAAAATCTCTAGGTATTTCCCAATCCAAACCTATGACGCTTCCCCTATGCCTTTTCAAGTACATGAAGCGGCCTTATACTGAATCAGGGCCTCGGTCCATCCAGGTCAGTATTAGTCTACTCAGACTAGCAGCGGGTCTCCAGGCTCTCAGGCAGTGAAGTCTTTCACATCACTCACCGCTTGGTCCTTTAGCTGGAGATGCCGGGGATTGAACCTGGGACCTTCTACATGCCAAGCAGAGGCTCTACCTTTGAGCCACGGCCCCTCCTACAGCTGTACAACTGTAGGGGTGCTATTCTGGCGCCAGAAAAAGCATGGTGGTGGTGGGGATAAGATCGCTTGGTCCTGCTGCACAGCAGGCCCAATTCCTGCCATGTTTTTAAACGGCCAAATTCTTCTCTGAAATGATGTTGGTGCCCCTGGATGCAGTAGCATCTAGTTTATGAAGGATTATTTGGGTTAGCAGAGTGCTCAAGGCACATAATGCAGCAGAGTCTATCTGGTTTGTGTGCGCTGACCAGGAAACAAAGTTACACACGGAGCCTCTTTGTCTTTGCAAAACTAATATGAGCCCTTTATGGTCAGGAACTCTAGACAGGATAGAGCAGAGATAGGATTCTAATCGAGTCTAACTAGGATGGCTAGAGATGCAGGAAGCATTTCCTGTCCTCATGGTGCCAAGATGGAGAAGAGCTAGCATAGTGTGGAGAGAAGGTGTCAAGCCGGAAGGAGGAAAGAAAGGAAGGAAGATTCCCTAGGAGTAGCAATCTACACATCCAAGGGATAGTATCAGAACCTCTCTCTCTCTCTGACTCTCTATAGTCCCTGTCTCTAAAGTCTGAGGCTGAGAGACAGCACAAAGTCTTTCACTTCCAACGGTTTAGCCCTTCGAAATCATTTAAGCACTTCCCAGTTTCAGCAGACACAGCCCCCCCTGCCCTCGTGTCCCAGGAGCGGTATTCCAGGGGGATCAGTAGCTTGCTGAGAGGGGGAACGGCAGCCAGGGAAGGTCCATTCTGTTAATGGGGGTGTCTTCCATTAGCACAAAATATTGTCAGGATCCAACCCAATGGGCACTTGCACACCATGTCATGCCCAGAAAATGGGGTAGATGTCAATGGAATCAGGAAGGAAAGATCCTCTTTAATAAGCCTGAATTTTTGATACACCTTAAACCAGGGGTGTCGAACTCATTTGTTATTAGGGCCGGATCTGACATAAATGAGACCTTGTTGGGCTGGGCCATGTGTGTCATAAAATGTAATGCCAGGTAGTGGAGATATAAACTTTATAAAGGACACAGAAAACGCAATTAAAGATTTTTTAAGCTTGAAATAAAACATGCTTAAAACACTAGCACTCTTGCAATATTTTGCCTATTTAACAGTCTTTGATAACTGACAACTCTTGCTCTGAATTATTACATCAAAATGTCTGTGCTGTAGCAATCTTGTGTATGCTGTTCAGGTGTGTATCTGTAAGCTGCAAACCTACTTTTGATTTACTGACATTCATTACAGAAATCTCATGCTCAGTGTTCTGTGCCTAGGACCCAGGGGAAAACATGAAATACCCAGGCATTGTGAGCTTTTGTACATAAGTTGCTTCATGTGCTGTTCAGGAACATGAGAAGGCATTCTGACACTGACTGAGGGCTATGTGTTTGTCTACAGAACTTCCCCAGAGAAATAACAACTTCCTACAAAGGAAATGTGCCAGGTGAACTTGGTCTGGACACACACTCTCAGCCTAATCCACCTCACTGGCTTGCTGTTATTCCTCCTCTAAAATAGTTCACATTTCTTTCTTATTGAGAAAGACTGGATCATGAGGGCATGAATACAATGAAAAGGGGGAGGGAACTCAGTTGAACCCAGGAGAGCCGTGGCATAAGGAGCCCAACAAAACACAAACACACAGTATAAGGAGCCCAACAGAATACACACACTGTAGCAAGGCACACAAAAGTTCATACTTTGAACAAAACTTTGTTGGTCTTAAAGGTGCTTGGTTTTTCTCCCGAGCAATTGAGGCAGCCCAGCAAAGCAAGCTCTCTCTCGTTCCTTCCCTCCCTTCAGGGAGGAGCCTCAGCCAGTTGACTCCAGTAGGATTGAGGCAGCCTGGCCAGTTCCCTCTCTCCCCCTGGGAGGAGGAGGGGGAGGAGCCTCAGCCAGTTCTTTACCAGACTCTCTCAATCACACAGGAGAGGATTGCCTATCTATCTCTCCTGTGCGACTGAGAGAGTCTGGTAAAGCAAGCTGTGACATGGCAGCAGCAGCAGAACTGGAAAAGGAAGCAGAAAACAGCCAGGGCCTTGTGGGCCGGATTGGAGCCCTCCGAGGGCCTGATCCAGCCTGTGGGCCGCATGTTTGACACCCCTGCTCTAGAGGGAATGGCAGCTTTGGAGGGTGAACTTCGTCACATCTGATCCTTACTGAGCTCTCTCCCCTCAGGGTTCTGCCCCCCCAAGCTGGAGTTGTCAGCCTTATCAGGAAGCTGTCTCCAGCACTTAAGTAACCTGCTGCTAAATTTGCTTCTTTCTTTTCTTTTTGTAGTTTTCTTCAAGGCTGGTCGATTACTGGGTTCCAAAGACAAGTCCGCTCACTCCCCATCCTGGACGGAAGAGACGTCTCCCTCACACCCTGCAAGTGCCGTGCACAGGGGTGGTGGCCAAGCACCGGCTGCATTTTCGGAGGACCTCAGAATTCCCAAAGGAGGTTCTTTATCTGGGATTTCGGACAGGCAGGCCTATCACGTGGTAGGCAACTCTCCGGAATCCAGGACAGACAAAGCGCAGCCCGAATCGGGAGAAATGCCCAGGAAGAAGCGCGTCTGGTTCTCCGATGCACCGGGCCTCGACCGACAGAGGAAGCTCCACACCTTCTACTTAACTGGTAGTACAGAAGAGTTGATAGCAATTGGGGTTGAAGGTGCTGGTGGTGGAAAGTGCTGTCGAGTCACCGCTGATTTATGGCGACCCCCCCGTGGAGTTTTCAAGGCAAGAGACCATTCAGAGGTGGTTTTGCCATTGCCTGCCTCTGTGCAGCGACCTTGGACTTCCTGGGTGGTCTCCCATCGAAGCACTCCCGAGAGCCAGTTTGGTGTAGTGGTTAAGTGCGCGGACTCTAATCTGGGAGAACCGGGTTTGATTCCCCACTCCTCCACTTGCACCTACTGGATGACCTTGGGCAAGCCATAGTCCTGGCACAGCTGTCCTTGAAAAAGAGCAGTTTCTGTCAGAGCTCTCTCAGCCCCACCTACCTCACAGGGTGTCTGTTGTGGGGAGGGGAAGGGAAAGGAGTTTGTAAGCCGCTCTGAGACTCCGAGTGAAGGGCGGAGTATAAATCCCATCTCTTCTTCTTCTTCTACTAACCAGGGCTGACCCTGCTTAGTTCCTGAGGTGAGGTCAGGCGAGCCTAGAACATCAGGGCTAAAGGAGGGGAAAATACTGTGAGGGATGTAATGGGGATGTGTACATACGGGACCTATTTGGGATGCAACTATGATGCAGGAAAACCTGTGTGTGACCAACAGGTTCTGTTACAGTTGCCAACCTCCATCTGCAGAAACGTGGGAAGGCAACGGAGGAAGACAAGTGCAGGCACGGGGAGAAATGTCCCTGAGGAAAATGTCAGATTTACACCGGGAAGTCTGGGTTCAAATCCATACTGTCATGCACAGACCCAGCTAGGGTTACCAACCTCCAGGTGGTGGCTGGAGAACTCCTGCTATTACAGCTGATCGCCATGCGACAGAGATCAGTTCCCCCTGGAGAAAATGGCCCCTTTGGAAATTGGACTCTATGGCATTATGCCCCAAACTCCGCCCTCCTGAGGCTCCACCCCCAAAACCTCTAGGTATTTCCCAACCTGGTGATGGCAATGTAGTAGAGATGGGACTATATAGATTTTTCTCTTATTGATTATTCATATTTCTCTGGTTTTTATAGGTTTATTATAGATTTAACATTTTATTGGAAGGTAATAAAGGCCTGGTATATAGGAGGCCTCTCTTCTTTGTGGGTCAGAGTATTTTTCCAGTTGAGGTTAACAGACAAGACAATAACATTCTTTTGGCACAAAAGAAGGTAGAAGGTTCATGGTTCTAATTGTTCAGTCTGGGTCAAAAGGATCTTTTACTTGGTATCAGAGAAAAACACCTTTGTTTGGGTGAGACCAAGCTTTAGCTGATATGACTTAGGTAAATATGTGACGCTATTGCATAGACACACCTTTCTTTAATTTGACCAATAAGGAGATTTTTATGTAAATGTTGTTTAGGTTTTTATAACCAATTATGCCTTCTGAATATTATTCTCATGATGATGATATGATGATGTCATATTCAGTATTTAACTTCATGTATTTCCTGATTGGAAAGCAGTCAGATGAGTCCTTTGGCCTAACTGTTTTCCGTATTTCATTGCAATAAAACACAGGAACTTCCTCCTCATTTTGACTTCAATCTTCTATTTTTGACTGGATATTAATTTGTATAACAGCAACCCAAGAGCCAACCTTGAGTTGATTTCTCTCAGTTTATCCAACTTCACAGGGTTGTTGAGAGGGTGAAACGTATTTAGGTAATTTGGGAGATCTGTGACGTATACAAATAAATGGACAATCCTTTTCATAATCTTGTTGTTTTTAATGACCTTCTGCTTCAAATGGCTTTATCCCCAGTCCTTTATTCTAAAAGGCTCGTGCTTTTCTTTCAGAATTGTGGGGTTGAAGGGAGAGAGTAGAAGTAGTGTATCTAAAACTGCTTAAGTCTAATTCTTCCCCATGTCTTTCACTTCTTGTAGATCTCGAGACTGCTCAAAACAACAAGAAAAACGGGCGTGTGGTGGGAGAGATTGCCTTCCAGTTGGATAGGCGCATACTGGCTCACGTGTTTCCTGGCATCACACGCCTCTACGGATTTACAGTGTCCAACATTCCTGAGAAGATCAAGCAGGTAACTCTCCCAACATTTAAAGGTAAAATTGGTCTCTGGCCAAGAATTCTAAATCCAGTGCCATCTCTTAAATTCAGTGCCAGAGTATCTATACAGCAGACATCTTTAGCCATCACGTGCTATTTACGACTAACCTCCTTTGCAGAGTTGTTGTAAGGATAAACAAGGGGATTACATGCATTCTGTATGCACTGCTCTGAGCAGCTTGAAGAAGTAAAGGTAAAGGTTTCCCTTGCTTGAAAGCCAGTCGAATCCGACTCTAGGGGGCAGTGCTCATCTCCGTTTCCAAGCCAAAGAGCCAGCGCTGTCTGAAGACTTCTCCGTGGTCATATGGCCGGCATGACTAAATGCCAAGGCATATGGAACGCTGTTACCTTCCCACCAAAGCGGTACCTATTTATCTACTTGCAATTTTCTTGCTTTCGAACTGCTAGGTTGGCAGGAGCTGGGGCCAGAGATGGGAGCTCACTCCGTCACATGGCACTCGGGTCTCGAACTGCCGAGCTACAGAAAGTGGAAAGAGAGAACTTTTTTCTTCCTCTCTCCAAAATACAAGAACTCAAGTGCATCCAGTGAAGTTGATGGGCAGTGGATTCGGGACTGACAAAAGGGAATACTTCTTTCTACAACGAGTGATTAGAATGTGGAATTCACTGCCAGAGGATATGGTGACTGGCCACCGGCATAGACTGCTTGCAAAGGGGATTAGGCAGAGTCATGGAGGAGAGTTCTGTCAGTGGCTACTAACCGTGGTTGACTGGAAGAAATCTCCACATTCAGAGGCAGTAAACAAACCTCTGCAACCGAGTGCCAGGACACAATGCTAGGGGAAGGCCTTAGTCCTGTTGTTGGCCCTCCAGAGGAACTGGTTGACCACTGTGTGAGACAGGATGCTGGACTGGATGGACCCCTAGTCTGATTCAGCAGGGCTCTCCTTCTGTTCTTATGTTAGAAAAGATTATGATGATGAGGGGTCATTTCGTAGAAAAAGAGGTGCAGGAGCTCAGTAGCATAACTCATTCGCACAACTCATCTGTATATGCCACACCCCCTGACATCACCGGAAGTGTGTCAGAAGGCAACACCCACCGCTCAGGCTCCACTGGACTGTTTTGGATAGCTAGCTATTGGGGGGGATGTGCAGATCTGTCCTCACAGAGGAGGGAGAGCTCGTACCTGAATAAAACTTGGTCTTAAAGGTGCCACTGGACTGTTTTAGACCGGGGGGGTGGGGGGGGAGAGCTTTGCAACTTACCTGGCTGCATCCTGCTCTGACTGAGGGTTGCTGGGAGCAGGGGGTGGGGCTCGTTGCATGTGCCCGCCCCCTGGGCTCTTTACTGCCGGAGCTCCACTCTTGTGCGCTCCTGCAGGAAATGACCCCTGATTGATGATGATAAAAGATCAATAAACCTTTACACAGAACCTTGCTTTTAGCATTGTTAACAAAACAATCGCGCCATCCCGTAAACTATGGAAGTAATAAACTCACAGTGCATGTTGAACTTTTTTGCTTTCAGTTAGTTGGATAGTATGAAGCAAACCTTCTCAGTTGGTCCAGGGGAGATGTAAAAGGACAGCTAAAGGGCTCCCGTTGCCAGAGTCCCGTTGCCAGAGCGACGCATAGTGTCACATCCTGGTGACGGTGGTGCAACGCGTATCGCTGTCCCCCGCGGCAGGGATCCTGTGAAGACGTGCGGATCCCCCGCTGCGGCTTGGCAGCCTTATGCACAATAGAGCTGCCAGCTCTGGGTTGGGAGATTCCTTGAGATTTGGGGGGTGGGGTTTGGGAAGGGGAAGGACTCTCAGCAGAGTTCAGTGCCGCAGAGTCCACTTTCAAAAGCAGCCATTTTCTCCAGGGGAACTGATCTCTGTCGGCTGGAGATCAGTTGTAATTCCGGGAGATCTCCAGGCCTGACTTGGAGGTTGGCAATGCTAGGTATGAATGAAATGCGGAGCAGAACCATAAGTTGTTTTGGGTGACTGTTCTGACACTTTAGTATAAGGAAATGTGGGATGTCGTTATTTCCAGGGCTATTTTTGGGCAGGAACGCATAGGAACGGAGTTCCGGCTGGCTCCCAAGTTGGCCACGCCCAACAGGAACTCATTAGCATAATAGGCCACACCCAATAGCAGAAACTCATTAGGATTGGCTACATTAGGGGTGTGTGGCCTAACATGCAAAGGAGTTCCTGCTACAAAAAAAGCCCTGGGTTTTGACAACAAACAAGGTAAACAGAATAAGAAGGGAAAGGTGATGCTGAGCTTCTTCTACAAAAAAAGCCCTGGTTATTTACAAAGGTGCACCCCAAATGGTCAGCGCTTTGAGATGCCCCATCCTCCGCAGGGGCCTGGTGGAGAGGGTTCGGTTTGACATTTGCTGAGATTCTCGATCTCTGAATCCCAGAAGAAAGCTTCAAGGGCACCCTCTCAGCTTTGTAGACTTATCTAAGTAAAGGTAAAGGTTTCCCTTGCTCAAAAGCCGGTCAAATCCGACTCTAGGGTTGCGGTGCTCATCGCTGTTTCCAAGCCAAAAAGCCAGCGCTGTCCGAAGACGTTTCCGTGGTCGTGTGGCCAGCGCGACTAAATACTGAGGCGCACGAGATGCTGTTACCTTCCCACCGAAGCGGGCTATTTATCTACTTGCAATTTCTTTCGAACGGCTCGGTTAGCGGGAGCTGGGGCCAGAGACGGGAGCTCACTCCGTCACGTGGTACTCGGGTCTCGGACTGCCGAACTACAGACCTTCTGGTTTGCAGCTCAGTGTCTTAACCTCTGAGCCACCATGGCCCTGTAAACGTATCTACTCCCCCCCTCCAATAAAACGTACAGTTCATATCGCCAGATGGCTTGGAGAAAAATGTCCTGTACCTTTAAACAGAGGCTTAATGTATAGAAATGGGCAGCAGAAGCTCTTCAGGGTATTGAGGTAAATCACATAATACGGTTGTCAGCCCCCAGGTGACACCTGGAGATCTCCCACTATTACAATTACAGTTGATCTCCAAGTTACCCAGATCAGCTTCTGTGGAGAAAATGGCTACTTTAGAGGGTGAACTCTATGTCATTAATACCCTGCTGAGGTACCTGCACTCCCCAAACCCTGTCCTCTCCAGGCTCTACCCCCCCCCAAATCTCCAGGTACTTCCCAACCCCGAGGTGGCAACCCAACATCACCTGGTGAATTATATTCTATTTAGCCTCCATTAAAGCGACAGGGCATATGTCTCCAGGCAAGCTGGCAACCCTAGATGCCAGCTACATGTGGCACCAAAGGCGCTCCGGGTACTTGTTAGTGACTTGTTCTAACGTGATCGACTTTCTTTGGCTTGATCACTTTTCTCCTCTGCCCGTTTTGTTTTTTTTTAAAGTTGTTTTCAGAAATATATAATACAAGCCTTGGACCCTCAAGGACTTGTGGGCCATGCTCCCTCTAAGCTGTGGAGTCTTGTGAGCAAAAATTCTACTTTGTGAGCTCCTGGCATTAAAGTTGTGAGAGAGCCATTTGTCCACTGCATAAATTAGTTTGCTCTGGAGCCATCCTTCCTGAGCTAAGGCAAAAATGTGTGAGCCGGAGGCTAAAAAACTGTGAGCCAACTCACACTAACTCAGCTTAGAGGGAACACTCCTTGTGGGGATCATATCAGTCCCCCCTCCCCCACTATTTCCTCGTTCCCTTCCCTGAAAGCTTCCCAAGCCTCCCTTTCCCTTCTTCCCTCTTTCCTTCCCACCCACTGGACAATTTGTCTTTCCCTGTCCCCCTGTCTTCAGCCTTCCCTCCCCCTGGCAGCCTCTCCCTGAGAGAACTCTGTGCAGTTCAGGCTGTCAGGGACACAAAAGGAGTTGTGGGGGTGCCTCGCTTCCCCCTGCATCCCCTTCTCCACACGACTTCCTCTTTCTGCTCAGCAGCCCCATATGCTCACCTTTTAGGATTGCGGACCTCCATGTCTCCAGGCAACAGAGATTAGTTCCCCTGGAGAACATGGCTGCTCTGGCGGGTGGACTCTATGGCTTTATACCCTGCTGAGGTTCCTCCCCTCCCCTCCCCAGACCTCACCCTCCCAGGCGCCACCCCCAAATCACCAGGAACTTCCCAATCTGGAGTTGGCAACCCTATCACCTTTCCCTGCTTCCTTATCTCCTTCACACTCCCCTGTTATCTGCCCCCCTCATCTTCAATTATGTTAATTTATTTACCTCATTATCTACATCCCGCCTTTCTCCACAAATGAAGGCTCAAAGCAGTTCACGCCATTCTCCTTTCTTCTGTTTTATCCTCACAACAGCCCTGTGAGGCATGTAAGGCTGAGTGTGTGTAACTGGCCCAAAGTCACCCAGTGAGCTTTCATGACATATTGGGGATTTGAACCTCAGTCTCCTAGATCCTAGCATGAAACTCTAACCACTATGATATGCTGGGTTTGGGGGCAGGCTATTGTTGAACAGTAACAAGCAGTCAGGCCTGGGTGAGTCATGCAAGTAGCATGGTAGCAAGTCACCCAGTGGTTGCCACTGGCCCTGCTGAGTTCTCCCTCAAAGGCCCAAACTAGAAAGGGTCCCTCCCCATCCCCCTGCCTTTCCTGAATGTGACCAAGAACTGAAGGCTGGCAATACTGTTGTGGTTGCCTAGCCACGGCCAGTGAGGGAACATGTTTCTTAAAGCTACAGGCACTTCTTTTAACATTTTGGGGAGTTTTAACCCTCCCAATGTATTTTTGCAGATTTTTCTGCAAACACGGGGCTTATCTCAGGCATGTAGAAAAATCTGTCTTGTCTGTCCATGACCCCACTCTCCAGACTTAAGTATCAACGTTTTAAAGTATCAACACAACAACTGACAACTAGCTGTATCGATACTGCCCTTAATATCAAACAACTCTTTCTTCTCCCATAAACCCACCCTCTTCCATAGCCCTAAACACATGGAAAGGAGAAATGGAGGGGTAAAACTGAAAGGGGGGAACAATAAATAAAAAGAAGAAAATGAAGAAAAAGAGGGGGACAGTTAGAGGTGTCTGTGAACTGCGGGTGGGGGCATGAGTTGGAACATTAAAATAGGCCTGCGACAAGCTGAACAAAGTTGCCCCGTGCTGTGCTTGGCAGAGCTGCAGCCCCCCCCTTTCAGTTAGGGTAGCCAAGTCTTACCTTTCCTGTGACGGGGGGCTCCTGGCTCCTTGCTGGGATGTCTCTGCCACACACGTGGAGCATGTGCAGTGTAATGATGTCACCAGTAGTGCGGTGACGCTCTAGCGTTCGGGGCAAAAACTCTATGGTAACCATAGAGTCCACCCTGAATGCTAGAGTGTCACCATGTGTCAACCCCAGTGTGATGGTATCACTATTGGTGATGTCATTGTGGCAGCGGGATGCTGCTGTTTGGGGGTGGGGCTTTCCCCACTGGCCAGCTGGCCGGTGGCAGATTAGGACCCCCGAAATTGGGGGATCTCCTGCCCTGACTAGGGGTGGTGGTGGTGGCAACCCTCCTTTCAGTCCCAGGCTGCAACAATAAGTTAAAGGACCAGTCTGTTCCTGAACTTTTTTAAATTATCCCCCCCCCCCAGGTCTCTATGAAGTCCCTAGATGGTTCTGTGGATGAGAAAAAGTACCAAGCCATGACCCAGCGCTATTCAGACCTGATCGCTCACATGGAAAAGATGGGCTACCACATTGATATCCACCCAGTCTTTAGTGAGTTTCTCATCAACACCTACGGCATCCTGAAGCAAAGGCCAGATTTGAATTCTGACCCTGTACACAACAGCCCTGTCGAACTCCGGAAGATGGTGATTGACACTGTGCCGCCCAGGTTCCTTGGCGATACCTTGCTGCTTTTGAGCTGTCTGTGCGAACTTTCCAAAGAAGACAACAAGAACCTCTTCGCCTGGTAATGCCAACTCTGATTATTGCTCCCAGATCGCCGACAGAAATAGAAAACACATAACATCTATCTAATAAAAGTCTATCTGCTGAAAGAGGACATGACGTGGCCTGGGTGTTTTTGTATCGGGGTCTTGCTGACTGATTTGTTTTCTTAATATTTGATTCAGTCTCTGCTTTTTTCTGTTTTTATCCATACTGCTTTAAAAATGACATTTAAATCATTGTTGTTAGCTGCCATGGAACCCATGTTTGGGCTAGACTGTGGGAGCCGGATGTTAGAATAAATAAATAAAAATAAAACATCGTTGTTAATGTTCGCTTCTTGGATGCTGCCTCTCTTGTTGCTTGGGAGACAGAGTTGCCAGCCAGCCTGAACCAACCACTTTTCTCTCATTCTGTTTAGGACATACCTGCTTGTTACCTGTTCGGGTATCGGAATGCAGATCTACATTGTGGGTGCGGTCAGACGCGCCATTTGATCTGGTGTCGTGACGGAGTAACGGATTTTATATCCATGTTCACACACCCAACACGTACACACACCGTCCCCAGCTGTCGGTTTCCGGATCAAAAACCCTTTAAACCGGAATATTTTGCTACCAGGTCCCCAAGTGGTGTTTTCTTGATTCTCCAGTTCTAGCCGCACTTTTCTGATGTCTGATCGGTCCTGCGGTGTCGAGCCACTTCCGGTTTAAACCCCCTCCTCGCTCGAAAGCTGCCCGAGGCTTCCGCTTTTCGCCCGCCAATTTTTTGATGCATTGGCGGTGTGCGCATAGGCGGAGCTCTGGCACCGTGTTTAGAAAACTGACATTTAAACTGTCACTTGTTTTAGCGTTTAGATGAATTCGGGATCTCACGCAGGCCATTTTCGGGTCAAACATTTAAACGGCAGTCTTTTGTTGGAGGGGTTGGATTGATCCGCCCTGGTGGTTCTGCGCATGCGCCATGGTAGCTTCGCCCCCCCTTCTATGGAGGGGTGCCTACGCACATGTGCAAACTGAAGAAAAAATTTAAAAACCTGCCGATGCATGCTCCCACGCATCAATAGTGTAGTGACATGACTGCGCGGTGAGGTGGGATAAGGGAGGTAAGTGTGATCGCGATTATCCAGATCAAATATAATCCAGTTAGAACTGGAGCAGTCTAACCCACTTTCAGCATGCCGTCTGACCGCACCCTGTGTCTGTTCAAGGGTCTCAGTGTACCCCTCCACAGTCCACTCTATCAGCGTTTTAGCCTATGAGAGATGACATGGGGAGCTGGCTCAGTGGTAGGGAACCCGCTTGGTTCCAGGTTTAATTCCTGGCAATTGTTCGTAAATCAAAAGTACTAAAATCCAAACAGCATGAATCATACTTTAGTACTAAAATGTTAGTTCTAGTTGCAGAAAAGGGCAACTTGAATGATAAAAGGGTTGGAACACTTTCCCTATTAGGAAAGGTTAAAGCGCTTAGGGCTCTTTAGCTTGGAGAAAAGACAACTGAGGGGAGACATGATTGAGGTTTATAAGATTATGCATGGGATAGAGCAGGTAGAGAAAGAGGGTACTTTTCTCCCTTTCTCACAATACAAGAACTCGTGGGCACTCCATGAAATTGCTGAGCGGTCGGGTTAGAACGGATAAAAAGAAGTACTTCTTCACCCAAAGAGTGATTAACACGTGGAATTCACTGCCACAGGAAGTGGTGGCGGCTACAAGCATGGACGGCTTCAAAAGGGAATTAGATAAGCATATGGAGCAGAGGTCCATCAGTGGCTATTAGCCACAAGGTATAGATAGGGGCTCTGGGGCAAGGGATGCTCTGTCTTCTTGGTGCTTGGGGGGGCCAACAGTGGGAGGGCTTCTAATGTCCTGGCCCCACTGGTGGACCTCCTGATGGCACCTGGTATTTCTGGCCACTGTGTGACACAGAGTGTTGGACTGGATGGGCCTTTGGCCTGATCCAACATTGGCGTCTCTTATGTTCTTATGTTCTAGTTAGAACATGATTGCTAATCTAATGATCAAGAGCACAGCTGTGGCAATTAAGCTTGCTCGTCCCTATTTAGAATACTGAATTTCCGGTCTTTCGGGGCATTGATAGGTTTATGTGGGGCAGACGCTTTTAAGTCCACAAAGGAACCAAGTGGGAGGTGTGTTGTTTCATATGGATATTTTAAAAACGAGTCATGTAATGGGGCAACCGCACAGGGAGAGATTTTTTTGCATATACAGACTTTCAAGCTGTACGGTTACCAACCTTCAGTTGGGGCCTGAAGTTCTCTTGGAATTACCACTGATCTCCAGTCCAGACTAAAGTGATCAGACCCGGAGAAAATGGCAGCTTTAGAGGGTGGACTCTGTGGCATCACATCCCTGCTGAGAGCCAGTTTGGTGTAGTGGTTAACAGCGTTGCATTCTAATCTGGGAGAACCGGGTTTGATTCCCCACTCCTCCACATGAAGTCTCCTGGATGACCTTGGGTCAGACACAGCTCTCTCAGAGCTGTTCTCTCACGAGCAGTTCTCTCAGAGCTCTCTCAGCCCCACCTACCTCACAGGGTATCTGTTGTGGGGAGAGGAAGGGAGAGAACCGGGTTTGATTCCCCACTCTTCCACATGCAGTGGCTGGTGTGACCTTGGGTCGGTTACAAGCAGTGTTCCCTCCAAGCTGAGTTAGTGTGAGCTATAGCTCAGTTTTTTAGCCTCTGGCTCACACATTTTTGTCTTAGCTCACAAAGGATGGCTCCAGAGCAAACTGATTTATGCAGTCGCCAAATGACTCGCTACTTTAATGCCAGTAGCTCACAAAGTAGAATTTTTGCTCACAAGACACCACAGCTTAGAGGGAGCACTGCTCCCGAGTATGCTGTGGAGGTGTTCTGGATGGTACAGTTGGAGGGGCGGCCATATTTCCTTCACTGTATGTCCACTTCTCAAAGGGGCATGTGATTGCAGGAGGGGATTTGAAAAACCCCGGCCCCCATTCTGCAGAGCTTCCAGGCACGTGGTAGTTAGATCCAGGCGGGTAGCCATGTTGGTCTGAAGCAGCAGAACCAAGTTCAAGTCCAGGGGCACCTTTAAGACCAACAGAGTTTTATTCTGGGTCTAAGCTTTTGTGTGTACACACGCTTCTTCAGATACATTGAAATGGAAGTCGCCAGTCCATACATGTATCTGAGGAAGCAGGCATGCACACAAAAGCACATATCTTAAATCTTGCGCAGTTCCGCAGGGCCTGCAAGACGGAGCTCTTCCGCCAGGCGTTCGCATAGGGGCCGCCGCTGCCACCACCACCAATGGTGGTTAATACCATCCAATAGATCGTGGGATTGCCCTGGGAAGCCCAGCCCTATACGATTAACAACACGGTATTGGTATCAACTGGACAGCGGTAACCAAACGGGACTGACTGAAGACAACCACTCAAGACCATCTGGGCCTGAAGGAAACTACGCAAGACCATCTGTTAAATGAAGCACTTTATTGTTATTTATTGTTATTGTTACAGTTGTGATTTTATTGTTTCATTGGGTTTTATGCTGGGCTTGAGCCCCTGTAAGCCGCCCTGAGCCCGCATGCGGGGGGAGGTCGGGGTAAAAATGCCTTAAATAAATAAATAAAACTTTGTTGGTCTTAAAAGTGCCAATGGACTTGAATTTTTTAATGGCAATTAAATTAAAACGGTGAGTCTACTGAGCAGAGCACGGTCCTTCCTACAAGAGAGAGTGCTGGGTTGCCTTTGCTCCTTCTCTCGCTGTATTCTTTGGGCTGGTGGGGACAGACTGGCGCCGCAAAGTGTGCCGGAATCTGTATGCATTGGTTGGCTGCTTCCATGTAGTGTAGACACAGGCACATCATTATTGGTATGCTGTAGGGTTGCCTTCCCCTGATGGGGGTGGAGCCCAATCTGCCGCTGGCCAGTGGGGAGAGCCCTGCCCCCAAAGAGCCCTGTTGTGCCCCATGTGCCCAACGCGAAGACATCACCCAGAGGTGATGTCATCGTGCCGGACACGTCATGCAGGGGACACTCTAGCATTTGGGTAAAAACTCTATGGTCACCATAGAGTTTTTACCGAAATGCTAGAGTCCCCTGAATGATGTGCCTGGTATGATGATGTCACTTCAGGGTAATATCACTGCAGCGTGCGTGCAAAGCATGCACAACAGAAGACCCCAGGAACCATGCTAGAGCCCCCTGCTGGGACACAGGTAAGACCTGGCAACCCTAGTATGCTGCCCCACAATTGGTGGGTATGGATGCCGTGCTCTCAGTTCCTTGGAACTGGGTCTTTCTGAAAATTTCTCTCCTCAACCAGAGCCAGGGCCTTTTCAGCCCAGGCCCCATCCTGGTGGAACTTTCTGCCTAATGACATCTGTGTCCTGAGGGACCTAGCACAGTTCTGCAGGGCCTGCGAGACAGAGATGTTCCGCCAGCAACGGGTAAATACTGAGCCTGGCCTCTTCATCTCCCCTCCCCTCCAAGAGGTAAGGACACAAACAGTGTAAACGCCATCTGAAACAGTTGGATTGTTATTATTTTAAAATTTTTATCCAGGCCCGTAGCTACAGTGGGGCTTCCTGGGGCCTGTCCCCCCTGACTTCCTTCCGAGGCCCCACAACTTCCTATATAGCCTAGCACACACACACACCCGACTCTCTGGGCTGTCCTGAAGACTCCCCGCACTGCTGCCGCCACCCCTTCCCTGCCTGCCAGCAGCCCTGCTGGCTTCATCCCAGGCTGGCAGGTGGGAGGGAGAGGCTGGGCTGGGGGTCCTGAGATGGCAGCAACACAGGGTTCCCAGGTGTGGAAGCGGCACGAGGTGAGCAGGTCTGCAGGTGAGGTGGGGTCCAGAGGAACCTTTGGTGGTGCTCAGGGGCCAGGCCGAGCCACCTCTTCCTCTTCTGCCTCCTCCTCCTCCTCTCCCTGCACCTGGGTGCCCAGCCGGAGTGCCGGCAGAGGCCAGCTCCATGGTGCCCAGCTTCCAGGGTGTGTTGGGGGGAGGGGATGGGGGGGTCCCAAGCTAGC